TACCTTGTACTTAGGCTTTTGGTTAGTTTTTTTTCATATAATATTCCATAAATAAGTATTGCAAATAAAGTTTTTGGATTCATAGACTATATAATTGAGGTTGCCCTTTTAAATTTTGATAATCTTCACTTTTGGAGTTCACCTAGCGAGCAACTAATTGCTTGGTTCCGATAACTCGAATGCTGAAAGAGGGAAGACCTAAGAATAGATTTTATATCATTTTCTTATACGTTCTTGTCCGACAAAGATCAACCCATGAAATCTTCAAGTTTGCACAAATTCACCATTTTTTATGTAATTAAATCAATTTACGATGTTGGAAGTTATCGACGTTCGAACACGATAATACCATGCAAAATAGTGGGGAGAATGTGAGAAGAAATTAATCACACATGTAAGTTAACTTATGACATGATTTGTCAAACGATTTGATTCACGCCGTCCATAGAAGAGATAGAATTCTCCAAGGTGAGCTATTATTGGGGCTTAGTGGCTTATTGTGCATACATTCTTCTAGTTATTAGTAGTCCAAGTGTCATCCAAACAGTTGTGACTTCCTTGGTAGCTAGCTAAAAATAAAATATTATTGAAACAGAGAAAATAAAAATGACATGTAAGTTTGGGATGGAAACAAAGAAACAAACATCAATGCATATGGGAATGGAACATGGAAGAATATTGAAGATTATGAAAGATTCAAATTGATGCATGATTCCTATTGGCACATCTGTATCTGTGTTTTGCATGTTTGCTTGTGAAAACCAAATTTCTATTTCAGAATGATTTTCCTTTCTTTCTTCCTCTTTCATGGGATTTTTTTCCGAATGGGATTCAGACGCGTCTTATCCTTCATTTATAAGCAACGATTTAGTATCCTTAAGTAATCATGTATATATGATTAGTATGGTAAATAGAGAAAAACCAGGAGAAATGCAACTCCGTATATAAATCACGGCTAGGTTAGTATTGTGATGATCTCGATACATTCATATAATTTTCTTGATAAGATATTACATGCGACTCTCTATTTATAAAGATAATTTAATTTATTATTTATTGATGTTTTGGAGTATCATGATTCTTTTTTCCTTATAAATGGGATTTACAGGCAATAATTTGAGGCCAGGAAGCAATAATATGGGTGCAAAATTGACTAGTGTGCCCTAATTTGATTGCTGGAAAACTATCCAGATGACAGGTGTAAACTGTTGGTGCAATAATATACCTTATCTTTAAATTTTTGGTACTAACAAGAATAAAAATAAAAATAACCATAACAAATAATAACAATAACAATAATGTTTTGGTTCACCCAATAATTTCATAAATTTGATTTTCACTAATAATTTTAGATTCCTTTTTCCCCCTTGTTCTTTGTGTTCTCTCACTCCCACCCAACAAGTAGCTATCTGCCCCACAATAATGCAATTCCAAGAGAAGTCTTGTTAGCTACTCAATGAGTCAAATACACATGAAGGATAAAGATGTTTAACTGCTTATGGTTTGTGTTTTGTTTTCACAGGAAAACTAACAGCCAGCATTAAGAACTAATCACATTTCACAAAGATTAGATGCCATCAAGTATCATATCACAATTTCGAATTTGGGCTATATGGTTCTGGCTGGATAAGAAAAATGATTGTATTGGAGCAGATGATTCCGAACCACGGGAAATTTCAATATGGCGACAAGTTTTCCATTGGAAATTTATGTTCAGTTTGGTGGTTCAACAATTTACTCCATCGTGGGGCTCTGTAGCAGATTCAACAACCCCATCACTACCATTTAGACAACATATGTGTTGTACACCACTGGATGGATGCCTTCATTTAACTTAGGGGTGGCTATACGGTCCGGTCCGGTTAAATTGGCCCAAATTGATCCGGTCCAGTCCGGGTTTTTTGAAAATATAAGGACCGAAGATTGGATTGGATACAGTCCGGTCTTGATCCGGTCCGGTCTTGACCCGGTCCGGTCCCAATTTGATCTTGATTTTATATTGAGATTGTGGGAATTTGAGTGGCCTAAGGCCTAAAAGGGTGAGGAGTTGGTTAAGTTTTGTACTAAGTGCAAAGGTTTGTGACCGTTTATGCAAATTACACTTAAGTTTTGGGTGTTGAGCTCTCTTATCCGGTCTTTATCCGGTTTTTTAGCTCAAATCTAAGCCCAAAGATTGGATTGGATTGTTTACTATCCGGTCCCGGTCCGGTCTCGGTCCGGGTTATACGGTCCGGTTTCCGGTTTTTTATCCGGTCCCGGTCCAAATAGCCAGCCCTAATTTAACTAGTGTCCGTCTCACTTCATCTAAGTAACTTCATTTCTGATGAAACACAATCTTTTTTAGATTTACATACGACTAGTACTCATACTCTAGTTTAGCCGATTAGTTTATAAATCCGAAATATCCTATACACCCGACATTTGAGATGCTTCGTGCACAAAAGGACAATGTAATTTAATGAAATCTTTTAGTATTCAACTATAACCTAATAATTAGGGGGGTAATTGCATGTGCCCCGTAATCAAGGAAAATGTGGCCTCCGATTTCCAAAACTTGTCTTGATCTTGAAAGTTTGCCATGTTCTCTCTGAAAGATCACTTTCCATGGCCAAATTTCCAAGGAATCTACCATTCATCCTCTTCTAAACACACATGGGGGAAATAGAAAGAACAAAAGATGTTGAGTTGGCTGAGAGTTTTTGCCCATATAGGATTTACATAAATGGTGTAGTGAGTGACAACTAATTATAGGTGCCCAAAAAATGGGGAATTATAACATGGAATTGGCTAAGCAAGTTGCATGTGACCAACCTAACCACTTGATTGGATCAATTGCTCACGTCATCAATGCCAACATTTCATGCTAGTCTCCATGACTGAAAGAACAAACTTGATCCTCATTTGAAATTTTTTCTTTGAAATCATGTTTCTTCATACTCAGTTTCTATCTATTCAAATACTCTAATTGTTCAATTGTATCGTCCCGCATGTCAGCACGATACCGATTGTCGTGCACAAACACAAAGTTAAAAAAACATTAAAGAAAACAACATGTTATGTCAAGAACCAGTTGATCCCAATAACTCGAGTTGTTGGGAGAAGGTTATGCTGGATCTTATACCACTCTCTAACACGCCCCCTCAAACGAAAGCCAACCCACGGGCTTGAAGTTTGAACTTACCATGTCAAGAACCAGTTGATCCCAATAACTCGAATTGTTGGGAGAAGGTTATGCTGGATCTTATACCACTCTCTAACATGTTAGATATGTTCAAAACAAAAGAAAAGTTGAATATACACGTTCTTGAACTTGATAAGAAACACGCAATCACTACTGCCGCAAAAGGAACTCGAGACAATGTTTCTTAACAAGAGAAGGCTTGTGATATGAAATGTTAATGTATAGTTCCATGCAAAAAAATGCAGCTAATCCATTTTTCTTTGGCAAAATACACTTGTATAGCCATAACTTTCACACTTTTGACAAGTATAGCCATTACTATTCGAAAACCTCAAATAGCCTAAAAATTGGATCGTATGTGATAAATCTAGCCATTTTTGTTAGAAACTTTGACGGTGTTAGAAACTCCGTCAGTTAGGTTAACGTTAGGCTGACTAAGATGCCAAATCATCGCACACGTCAGCGACCAGTCAGCATATCATTGCCACATCATTTTAAATTATTAAAATAATTAATTTAAAATTAAAAAAAAAACAAAAAAAATCTTCACTAAAATTTTCCCTACCCCTTCCACTTTCCCTCGTCGCGGCCCCTCAAGCCTGCAAACCTTCATCGATCTCCCCGATTCACCCATCCCTACCGATGCCGCAGATACCACGAGCTTCCCAGTGGTGGGATTGAAGTCGAGCTCCGCCAACAACAATTGAATCCCAATCAAAAGACCCCTAACCACCACTAACAATGGCGGCAGCACCTCCTGGCCCCTGCTTCTTCTCAATTCAAGCTCGGCGGCTATCTAGGAAACGGGAAGCGAAATCGATTGACTATCGATTCGTCGCCAACTCTGCAAGACCGTTCCCCTTCCTCCCTTTGCTTCGTCATCATCACGACCGGAGATTCTTCGCCTCTGTCGACGGCGGTTTTCTTTCCTTCCATCTCTCCCCGTCTGAAACTTCTCCTTCGACGCTCTCTCGTCGCCAGCGGTAACAAACTGTGGCCAAGGTGAAGCTGGGCGGCAAGCCAAGGATTAAAAAGATCGAGAACTCTAGCAAACAATTGGCTGATTCGAAGAACGAATCCATTTCAACTTCGGTGCGCATCTCGAATTTCCCACCATTTTCTCTATCTCCGTTCAGCTACAGCGACAACCAAAACTGCTGGAGTGAAGAAAGTCTTTCGCCGCCGCCGCCAGAAATATGACCCCCTGAAGAGGTTCTGACTTCCGAGGAGTTCTATAGCCTTTCGCCGCCGCCATCCTCATCATCGCCTGCGTCAAACACCTTCGTCACCGTCGTCCTCAATTACCGGCGTTCTTTTCTTCTCGTCATTTTCAGAAAGGGAGAGAGAGAGAGAGAGAGAGAGAGAGAGAGAGAGAGAGAGAGAGAGCAGATCGGCGCTAGTTGGGGAAGAACAGGGGCCGATCGAGAAATGGAAGGATGAGAAGATCGAGAGAGACGAGCTCATCGACTTCATCTGTATTCTTACTCTTCTTTTTCGTTGGTATTCCAGAAAGAATAAGAGAGAATGAGGGAGATAAGGTTTGTGCGGCTAGGGTTTTTAAGGTTTTTTTTTTTTTTTTTTTTTGTAATATGGGTTTTCTTCTTTTATATTTTACTAAATAAAAAAATTATTTTTTTGTTTTTTTGTTAATCCACGTGTCTGACGAGAAATTGCCAGCTCATCATTTCCGTCCGTACAGTCAGATTGTTAAGTAACACCGTTAAAGAGATGGACGGAAGTGGCTATTTGTGGTTTTCGAATAATAATGGCTATATTTGTTAAAAGTGTGAAAGTTATGGCTATACAGATGTATTTTGCCTTTTTCTTTGGACTGTTTCACTATCGACAGAACCTTTAATCCCACATAGAGCCCATGAGTAGCTAAACAGGCTGGCTTTTCCAGGCCCAGGTCACGGCCCTGTAACTCTCGCCTATGAATGATTCACCAACAGGTCAATGCCGGCCCACCAACCAGAATACCATCAGGCCTTTCTATCTAATGTATTTGGATTTTCTACAGTAACAAATGACAAATCACTACAGTGAGTAAACTCAGACAAAATAGTTCTCTATTCTCTAACGAAACAATTCGGCCATGGTGCTCAAATTCGAACAGTAAGGTTGGGAGTCGTCAGATCAGGCGTTCCATCCACTCTTCTTTGTTGGATAGACGCGATAACAATTTATAAATAAAATGTCACTGCATCGATCCAACGATGAAGCGTCCAACGGGCGACAGCTCCCACATCAGGGGAGTGAGAACTATGAAAGAGTCAGCGGGTTAAACTTAAAAGGCGCTAAACAACAGAATCTTTGACCTTTGCTTCTGCCTTGGGTTCATTGCTCTTCACGAGGAAGTTCTCCTCTGGCAGCCTCTGCCAGAGGTAGTTAGCCCCATCGATCCACCGCGGGAGGACCAGGAACTTGTCCTTCTCCAGCGCCCAGCGGGACTTCTTGGTACCGGGATCCATGGCAACAACGTGGGTCACGGTGGGATCGACTTCTGTGGCGCAAGTAGCTCCCAGGTTCACGGCCATCTTCCAGAGGGGGTGGCTCTCGGCTGGAAACTTGGATGGGAAGACCCTGCTGAACACGATTCTGCAGCCCTTCAGCACGTCTTTACGAACAGTGTTCAGGACCTGTCTCACGTCCCTGCGACCAGTTTGGCCGGCCAATTCCTGCAAGGAGTCGAAGACAGTTTCTATCTGAGTGCACGAACTACAGTGACATGTAGTAAAAGGAGGAACGGTATAGGGAGCAACATACGTTGAAGAAGATATGGTGAACTCTCCTCAAGACGCTAAGAACAGCTGCAAGTGCTCCCTCAGGTTCACTCTCGTCGCTTTTCAGCTGAGAGAGGGAATGACATCCGAAACCGAATTGCTGACAGCTCGAGGCGAAGAAATGGTATCTTTCCATCAGTATCAAGTTGTCTCTATGGCTTGGCCATACCTATATCACACAAAAAATCTTTGTCAGAATATGATTAAAGCGAACGGACTTCATTTGTTTCAGATAAACGTTCAAACTTGTGTTGACAACTTAAATAATAGTCTGAGGGCAGATGTACCCACATGTTCGGTATCATCGAGAATGAGGACTGCACTTTCATCTCCCAGCACCATATCGAGACTCTTCTGATGTCTCTGAGCGCCATCGTTGCGAGAAATCACCTTGGCGTGGAAGTATTCATTTCTCGGGTCAAGCAGTTTGGCCATTTCCAGTGCATAAGCCTTGTCTCCCATGGTGTATATATACATCTCGAACATTTGACTAGCTTCCTTCAGAAAAGTGTGCACATAGGGCCTAAGCTTGGTCATCATGTTCATGAAGCTTAACCGAAATAGGCTTCCATTTTGACAGTCTGTGCATTAGACAAGATGAAATTACACAAAATCAATAAAATGCAACAGAGCTGGCTAACTAAAGAAGATAGTGGAAATGGTTATATAATTCGAATCAATATATATTAGAGCTGACCTTGTATGGAGTCTATCTGATTATTTAGATAGTCTTCTTCTGGGACCATATGCTTAAGATGAGTAGAATTTAGCAATGTATGATCCAAATCAAGTACCAAATAAAGCTTCCGACGGCACAACACACTCTTAGTATCAGTATCTCGCCATCGAGCCACTTCCGCATTCCCGAACAAGATTTCCTGCAAGGTCAGATTTTATCCAGAATCATCACATCAAATAGAAAAGGGTATACGGGCAGACGGGCATATAAGGAAGTTGGACTCAATCTATATTTGTTCTCAATATGATTTGGAAAGAATATACATCAGCCATTTACAGAAATGCATACCTTGTGTATGTTTCCAAATGATACCCCAGCAACCTCAACCTGTGCTCCACAACGTACGCACAATTTACCAAAAGACCCTGGATGTGCACATTCATTCTTGCTGACAGATGCACTGGATGATGTCTCTGCAAAATACAGGATCAAAAGGCAGAAACTGAGTTGCTGGACATTCTACACCGTTTAACAGTTGGCAGAAGCAAAACAGATGCGCGGAAAAGATAACAATTAGGAACTAAGATAACTAGCATGGACATGTTGCGAGAGCAGTCATTAGATAAACGATGGTGAACAACAAGAATCAAGCACATGTAACACATGACATTGATACAAGACTTGTTAGAAGCCGGGAACCTAATATGAAGCTAGAAGTTTTACACTAAAACTGTACCCAAGTTCTGCTTTACGATAACATGGGAAGCTGACCCCTCAAGACCATCTCCATTTTGCACTATCTCCGCCTCTGGTATCTTTGTCCTGCAGATCAATTGCTAAGTGATTTTCACTGGTATGATTCCAAAAAAAAAAAAATCCCAATTACTCAGAGGGAATCAAGTCACCCAACAACATATACAGCAAGACATGATTGTTGATCCTATTTAGTTCAAACAGAACAGACAATACGAAATAAGTGAAAGGAAAAAGGCAGATAGAACAGCAAATGGAACAAGAATACCTAACGTACTTCAGAGTAGTACCTCTTGCTTACAGGTTGATCATCATCTTCGAATTCTTCCTCGCTCGAGGAGGAGGATGAAGAACTAGAAGCAACCTCCCTTTTAGCTTCTCCGTCGTCTTCATTCTCAGATCCGGCATCCAGATGACCGTCAAGGAATTCAGCAAAATCATCACTGCCAGATGAGCTCACCGGAGAATCGGCCACGAGACTCATCTGCACCACCAATTCAACACCATTCTCAAATTCAGAAGACACAAAATGGAAAGGAAATCCACCTCTTGCATTCCAACTACGATGTTGTAAACTGAATCCACACACAGCACATTCCAAACAATGCCACCGAGCGAGTTTCACCAAATACTCTTTAAGTTCAAAACCGTCACTACAGGACATTTCCAAAACAAGCTCCTAGATCACTAGTCGACATATCAGAGCCGCACCGCCGCGTAATTAGATCAAAATCGCCGTAAACTAGTAGTTCTAGTTCGCCTATAGCTTGGAAACGGAGAGGAACCGACCTGTGCGGAAGTGGCGCACCCTGGGCTAGACTGAGATCGGAACCTCGGGACGTCGATTCACGTTTCAACCGCCGCCTGACGGATAAAAAAGGTAAGTTCGTTCTTTCTCTGCCTTCACGCCGGAGATAAGGAAAGTTCCAACAAGAACAGTAGTGTCAATCTATTGCACGCGGGCGCGCGTTTTTCTCTGAATGCTGATTCCGAATCGCGAAAGAGAAGACGGATAGGAAGCGCCGGCTGTCGGAATATTCCGTCTCCGTCGAGTGATAGAGTGGTTAATCGGCTGCGTTAGGGTTTGAATTGAATACGAGTGATTTGAGAGAACTGAGAAGCGCGAGAACGGACGACCGTCGCCGCGTCGGCGGGAGAAAGAGAAGAGGGAAAGAGAGAGCAGTTATTCGATCGATGGAGCAATTTTCTGTTATTAATTAGTTAATAATAAAATAATAATCAGTAAATAAAAAGGAATCGGATGGGCTGATACGTGAGCTTGAAAGTGATATTGGGCCGTCTACACGAGAGTGGTCCATGGGCCCTTATCGATGGGCTCGACCCAACACTTAAGCAAACAAAATGGATGGAGAAAAGGCATTGAAATTTAGTTTAATGATTTGGCAATTGCACCGGATCAAATTGAGGTTTGGATCGCAACATTCCAAACCAAATATAATGGTGTTCACTCCTTGTAGCATGACTAATAAATAATGAAGAAATAGACCAAATAAATATTTGATCGAATCAGACTGAACCAAATATATTGTTGATCTAATTTTTGATCCTAAAATTTCTTTCACTATTGAACCAAACTGCACAATTCTCATAAGTTTCGTTCGGTTTGGGCAGTTGCAAACCCCTAGTTACGATTGAATTTGCACCGGATCGATACAGTATGGCCACTGAAACATCTCCAAATGTAACCTGATGAACACTATCAGAAAAATTCCTTTTCATTTCAAGTCCATTTCCCCACGTCTAGAATAAATTCAGAAAGCAAGCAGAAGGAAAGAAGGAAGACATTTTACTAGAACACTAGTTATATATACAGACTATAACATATGTATATGTGTTTCTACAGGCAGAGAGGTTATTCAGAAAACAGAAATGACCTCAGGAGGCAAAATTGTAAGGGGCAGAAAGGAAGCCATTCCTTCCATACCCTCCTACCCCTAGAGTTTGAATGTCAAGGGTAAAAGAACCATGTACAAGTTGCCAACCCTTGCACTCCAAAAAGGATCAAGCTTCCTAACACCCTGCATTTCCATTCTTGAGGGTCTTAATGGGGATCACATTCTAGCAGAACAAAGCTGGAAAGTTTCGAGCCATCAGCAGAACTGATAACATTTCATGTGGCGAAACCCAGGATTTTAGATCTGCTAACGAAGTGTATGCTCATCGGCAGGCTTCAGCTGACTTCCATAAGGTCCCCCCATCTATAGCCTGGTCGCTACTCGATATTGGATGGCTTTTGGGGTTTGGACTTTTGAGAATGGCAAAAGAGTTGATGGACTTTGAAGGTCTGGTCATTTGACACTCCTGGCCTGGACTGCAGTTTGCAGCAACGAGTTGGTCTGGGATGGATCTACTGCTACTTGGTTCTTTTCGGACTCTGCTGCTTTCTTCATGTCAATTTCAAGCTGCTTGCAGTTCTCGTCATGAGCTTTGTTGAATAGTCTCACGAAGTTGACCAGAGTCGAACAAACTGCACTTATATGTGTTATTAGTCATTATAGTGGGAAGCAGATCAAGCCCAAAAGTTCTTACAGGTATATGAAGATTACAGATTTTAGAAAGTACCTTGTTCGAATGGGCAACGGGCTGGATCTTCTCCAAAGTAAAGAATCAATGCATCCACATTTCTTCCCTAATAACAAGATCCAAAGCATTCAGGTGGTCTTATACTATTAACATACAACAGTTCACTTGAAGGTGAAAATTGAGAGGATGACATACCACTCCAGAGTACAACGAAGCCAGTGACCTCACTTCAGCTTCAGCAAATCGGAGGAACTCTTTAAGCGTCTGAATAAGGAACGACTTGATTAGCCAAAGTGCATAAAAGAAGCCACTTCTAGTAGTACATCTTGTCGATGAACGTCTTTAGCCGAACAATGTTGCCTCTAAAATGACATGCAGGCCTTACATCCGGCTCAAAGAAATTAACAAAACTCTGGAGGCAATAATGTGTTTACCTTACAAAAATTCTCAGAAACAAAACCATCATTCTCCGAGGAAGATAGCTCTTGCATGACCTTTTCAAGTCCTTTGCTTATCGCTTGCATTTCTTCTGCTAAGAACTTCAATTGTACCTACGTTTGGATACACACATTCAGCCACGAGATTGCGAATTCCCAAAATTTGCTTCCACAGTTATAAAGGCGAACCCATGGTACCTTGGACGCAGGTTCCAAACTGGGCAGGTCTTTGGAGAAGTCGAGAAGATCCGGTAACTTGTCAGCAAGAACCTGCCCCCATGGTAAGCACAGTGAATTTTAAGTTCTAGTGGAATCCTGACGCTGAGTAGCTTTTTATTGGCAGTATATTCCCATGCAGCACCTCATTTTTTACCTTGCAAAGATAGTGCATGAGAGTCATTTTGTTGTTCCTTGCCCGGGTATCGGTCAGTTTAAGTAGGCTGTCCAACCTAAATCCAATAGCAGCACCTAAGAGAAAAGGAAAAACGGAATAGAACTGCTTCAGCAAAAAAATGTTATTGTAGAATGATCAAAAAAATTCAACATGACCAAAGCAGGCTTACCCCTAGCAGTTCCTTGGTTCAAAGCATTACCCAATGAGAGAATAGTCTGCATGATTCTCTTTAATTTGGCAGAATTCCTGATCTGATGAGGGCAAAATTCCATGTTAGAGTAAATAAGAAATGTTGAGGTTGACCTGAAATAAAAGTGTTCATCATCAAGAAGAGAGCAACGACAGTAACTTGCCTGTTCTGCGGCAGAGTTCACTGTATTTAGGCTATTCCTGAGGTCAGAGACCTAGAATTCAAAAGGGGAAATGGGTGAATATAAAACACCTGAAGTCGCGAAAAGATGACTGAGAGAACTCTGTTCATTTTCCTCACCTGAGAACGGAACTGCATCTTAAAAGCAAAAACTCTGAGCTTAGCTTCTACTCTTGGAACTTTCATTAACTCTAAGAAGAACTGCAGAAAGAATCCACAAAAGATATCCATGATGAGAATCTGGGTATACATAAATCAGCTCACAGAAAAATACAGCAAAATGTCCCCTTCTGAGATTTTAAACAGATGGACGAGAATAACACAGACCTGTTCACACTTTCCCAACTTTTCCTTGTCTCCAGTGTAGCCCTGAAAAAATGAAGAAATACATAGGATAATAAGTAAATACTGATGAGAATGCCTCTTGATGCTGCTAGTGGTTTAAGCATTTGAGGATGAATACATCCACATTCAATAATTATTCACCTTAAGGAGTTCCATTTCCTCTTTTGTTGGACAAAACTTGATCAGATTTTCTACTTGATCTACATCTAATGCGGAATCCTCCAGAGCTAAAACATAACCCTATCAGAACATAAAATGGGAGCGACGAGGAGGTTAGAGAATATCCTGATGCAGCATACGAATAGCTAAAACTAGAAAGATTTTCTGCCAAAAGCAAATAATATTGCTTTCCCCAAACTATAAGCAGGCTGAATCCTTCCAGAGCATGAGGCAAATATATGCTACGTAAGCTATCAAAAATTAAAGGCATAAATGGAAATCAAAGGTGCATTTCAATAACATGTAATTACCGTCAATTCATTCAGTGGAACCTTAACCTTCGAAAGCATGATTTCACAGTTGTAGGCTCGTCTGTGGTCAATCTGTGGACAAAGAAAGAATCAGATATGTGAATCAACAAAACACAGCAACCCAGATAACCATTTCATTCATTCTGTACCCACTTCATAAGCTACAGAGACCTTCAGCTGCCTGAGTGCATGAACGATAGAAATGCTTATTAATAGTAGAAATAACAAGCTCAAGATCCTCAACATTGTTTCACTCGGTAATTACGATAAATGCATCATAGGAAATTAGCAGCATCCAGATGTCAACTCCTCTGATGAAAAACAATTCCAAAGCCAATAAGAGACCAGATAGGTGAAATACCAGCTGCACTATCTCAGTCTTAGGCCCACGAGAGCTACGTGCCATCGATTTCCCCCCTCGATCTGGATTTGGTGCTGCTGCAGCAAAAAGACTCTCAAGTTCTGACATATCAATCTCTGGAGCTCTTTGAGAATAATCAACAAAGAAAAATTAGACTTGAGATATATCGCGAGAAACTTACAACAAAGCATTCCTCCAAGTGATATTCTACACTTTTAAGTATAACAAACTTACTTGGAGGCTTCTCCTGATTTTTGTGCCTCAGCCCACAAGCTTCCTTGCACAGCTCTTGTTAACTTCAACCAATGCAAAGGCTTCAACTTTTTCTGATTGTTCTTTATGGTGCGGGACAACCGTCCCTTTCCCCCCAGGCCAGCACTCATTGGCGGAGCAGGAGATGGCGGCACAGTTGATGGAGGTCCAGACAAAGCATCGCCACCACTACCTGCTCTTGAAGTACCATTAGCCAAAGGCGGAGGAGGTGGCGGCGCCGGTGCAGATGGAGCAGTTGCAGAAGAACGAGGAGGGGGAGGAGGAGCAGGAGGTGCTAAAGAATGAGGAAGTGGTGGTGGCGGTGGTGCAGAAGAAGTATGTCTAGCAGCACCAGGAGGAGGAGGTGGTGGAGGAGGAGCATATTGGTGCCTGGAGGTGGGAGGAGGAGGTGGTGGCGGAGGAGGGGTAGATGAAGACACAGACGGTACAGGAGGAGGAGGAGGCGGTGGCGGAGGAGGCGGTGGAGCAGGGAGTGCAGAAGAAGGTAAAGGTCGTGGAGGTGATGCCGTTGAAGGACTTGTAGCTTTCTCTGGACACGGAGGAGGTGGTGGTGGAGGTTTAGCTTTAACAGAATTCTTCTCCAAAGCCGAAGTTGATGGAGGAGAAGGTGGTGGAGGAGGAGGTTTAGCTTTAACAACATTCTCTTCCAAAGCAGAAGTTGATGGAGGTGGTGGTGGTGGCGGTGGTGGTGGTGGAGCAGAAGGGAGTAGTGAAGTCAAGAGAGCCTTGGGAGGAGCAGTATGGTGGTTTGCTGATGACTGTGCACACAGAAGGAGCTTCTCAGCTGCAGAAGAGATGGCAGGTTGTAGTTGAGTACTTGATGATGAATCAGAAGCACTTCTGGTCTCGGCGCTGCGAATGCCACTGCTGGTTGCTGGTTGAGACATCTGACTGGAAACATTATGTTCAGCTTCAACCGATCGAGTAGGTGAAACTGAATTTGGTGAGTTCAAATTGTCCAAATTTTGCGCTAGCGAGTTCTTCAGCATCCTTTTCAGTGAGATCTCGGCATTCTCAAGTGAGGCATTGTCACGTAACAAATCTTTAATGGTGAGATCCAAAGGAGTCGTCGGTGGTGCCTCTTTATCCGTCTCAAGATTTTGCTGCTCATCCGGGGAACTTTTTGTATGTGGAGATAACTCTGGCGAGACGAGACCTTCAGCATTTTCCCATGAGAGTAGTGAGTTCCTCGTCAACCGTTCTCTCTTCCTTCTGTCATGATGCATTCCTGGACTGCTTTCCCGACTCTGAGGACTTTGTTCTGCACTGTGTCCCAAATCCATGTCATGCATTTGCTGGAGCATGTTAAATGCTACATCTGCATGTGGTGATGACCAGTCAACACTGCTGAATATCTCATGAACTTTGGCAAAAGCTTCAACTGGAAGGCCATCCTTCTCCTCAAGGCCAGAGAAATCCATAGAGATAACAGAAGCATGGGCATCAACCTCTGAGAAAATAATCTTCAAGCAAAGGAAATGGTCTAGGTTACCACAGAGCTCATTACAGAAGAACTATCATTTCCATAGAATGAAGTATGACTGAAAAACTATTGTACCTCAGCTCTGAAGTCCTTTGGAAATAGATCTTTAGCATCCCACAATATGTCGATTTCATCACGGTTGAGTATCAAGATGTTTGACCTGATGAAAGCCGTATTAAAAACTACTCGAAACATCATTTCTTCGCTCTCCATTTCGTCACGTATGCTGACACACTCCATCACAACATCACCTTGGATTGCGCAATGGATATCAATTTTAACTAGCTGACATTCTGCCTGCACTCAGACACAGTGATTCAACAAGTGATTTTTTTATAGAAGGTGAAGGAACTGCTCTGTTGCTTAAAAATGTGAATTTTCACAAAGAATTTGGAAACGATATTTCTATCCATGAGTACAGAATACTTTTCATATAATGCACGAAGAGCTCACTAGTTGTTTGGCTGGGTGTATCTGAAAGGGTGATATTAGTAATAACAACAATTGAACAAACATGTCATTCTGGGTTAAAGTTGTTATATTGCAGCGTATTTCGAATCATGCCTATAATCTTAAATGCATCAAAATATGTCATCTCAAATGCTTGGATGTACGAAATATATTAGAAAATGCATCTAGAGAAGCGGGTCCCACGTATATTTTCTTCACAAACAATGATTTAAAAAACACACTGAACCAAACAATGGTTTCACAAACACATCTCACATAGTAGCATGCAAACTACATAGCATGCAATTTAGGTAAACAACATCCTGTTCCAAATACATCGAACCTAATACAGTCACTGTAATCCACCTTCTAAGCAAATTCTCCGTTGCCAGGGAAAGTTGCAGTTTCATCAATGTGATTCACAACAGTATCGTGAGCTAAAAAGCTTTACCTGCTTATAAGCCCGGAAAGTGTTGTTCTTCTTAGGAGTGGAGTACAAGAACTTAGGAGTTCTATCTGAAGCAAGAAAGGGATCCTGTCCATATATACGGAACACAGGACGACAACCACCCTCTCTATCAAAATTTGGGATGAATCTCATGATGACACAGTCCAAGTTGAGAGCTCTATCCAATGGTGGCCACTCTGTAGCCACGTTTCTTCTTGAAACATACTGTAAATATCTCAGCTGAGAAGGAATAGGGTTTAGAGGACACAAGAACTGCAAAAGCTCACGGGGAGCTTGTCTATAGATCATGTCCAATGTCTTCTGCTCTCCACTGTATTGCTTTCTATATATCAACAGTGCTGCCAGCATAAAGGCGAGAATCGGCCAACCACCTCTTTCACAGTGCATCAGCAGCAAATTTTGCTGTCCGAGCGAAAGCCAACTTTCCCCTGATCTCAAGAAATGGTGAACGACTTCCATTGTGAGCAAAGGGCAGCCTTCGTAGTGCCGAGGATACTCCATGATAGTCATGTCGTATTCAGACAACACATCAGCAATCTGACTTTGTGTCTCTCCTTCACGGAAATTGAATGCTAGGTATGATGCATCAGGGAAGTGGTCTTTAAGCTGGCCAACTATTCCACATATGTACCCTTTGTAGTCTTTGTCTTGCCATGAATCCATTGTAAAACAACAATCGAAGACTGTATTTGTTCATGAAACACATTACAGGTAACATATCAGAACAATATTTCATAACCAAGGCACACCGATTTGCAGAGAACATCACTTCAGAGAGATTATGCATAACTCCTCAAAGACCAGCTCTTTAGACAGTTGATTCCAGTTAATTACTTCATTCATGTAAAGTATAGGAAATGCATGGCAAATTCATGCAAAAGAAGATGGCTACTGCACAAGCTAGACAGCCAATGGTCCCTCTCAAGCTCCCTGGCAGCCAAACAAAAGAATCTAACTAGTTTTCCACCTCAAGCAACAAGGGAACACAACATTTTACCCTACCAAACCAAGAGTATTCCAAAAAGGTTCAAGCTTTTTGCATCAGTACATCCTACTAGCCAGCAGAAGGTTTAAAGAAAACGTATGAAATGAGGAAAAGAACAACGCACCGTAGACCCGCTCACAGATCTCAAGCAAGCCCTCAGGCGGCTTCCTGTAGAACAGTTTGCGAAACAATGCCATCTATCTCCCCCTTCTCCTCTCGTCCCTAAGCCCTCCTCAAAAAGCTTCTCCTTTTCTCTTCTGCTTCTTCAATTCATCCCCAAACCAAAACCCAAAAACTCATTCCAGCAACAGAACCCTATGCGGCAACTGAAAATTGCTATCCCGGCAAAGTGGTTGGTTGGTTTGTTGAATCAAAACCTTCTCTTTCACCTAAAGGGGGTTTCGAGGGAAGATTAACGAAAAGGGGGTTTGTACTTTGCTGCCTTCTGTTCTCAAGTATTACCCAAGAAATGATTAGGTTAACAGACAGTGTGGGAAAGGAGCGGATTTTTTTGGTTGGGGAAATTGATCGAATGATTGGCGGGCAAAAGCTCTCACGGTCCCTTGTAAAGGCGATTGCTTTCCTTTCCTCTATCAGCTAGCTGCCTTGATTGAAGGCTGGCTCCTAGGGCGCAGGAGGTCTGAAATCGCCTCCCGCGGCTGGATTTCCGCCGACGTGGCGGCGTCGCCCTCCGCCAGGTGGAGCCAAGTTTTTGTCTTTTATATGTGGGTTTGACGTACGAGGAGTAAAAATGATTTGGACAGTCGGATTTGGATAGGCATTCGTGCTTTTGCCTTTGGCTTTTACCAAGAAGAATGGATTCGATAAAGAAGATACTGAAATTAATAAACAATTACGAGTTCGGCTGTTTTGCTTTAAAAATAAGTTGCAAAAATAAGTTGCAAATTGAATTTGTATCCTAACTTTTCATATCAACAATTAAACTTATCCTATAAATTTCGTAATATATGGCGAGTTCTACCGTATCCAGAGTAAAATGCGGGGTACCGCATCTCTTGAGTATAAAAATGCTATTTAGAATTGAATTGACTGATCTTTCAGACATGATACTATATTCTAACCCTTAAATATCAAAATCTAGATCTTAATTCTCTAATTCTTATACGCCATGATTAATTTAATTATAAACTATAATTGACGGTTATAATTCGACAAAAAATGAATGCACCATCTTAGAATTTATAGTTTATGATTTAGATAATTAGAATCTAGGGTTCACTCAACCGTCATTTCAAACCATGCTTCTAGTTCTACCATTTAGGGCTTCTTTGGGACTAGGGATGGCAACAAAACCCAAACCCACGGGTACCCACCCAACCCAATGCGGTCAACGCGGGTAAAATCCGTGTTGACGGGTTTTGGGCCGGGTTTGGGTTTAAACCCGTTCACTATTCACCGGGTTGGGTTGGGTTTGGGTTTAGGTAAACCCGACCCGTGGGTACCCGCCCACTCATAAAATTAATTTTTTCGGTATATTTAATATTCTAAACAACTATTCTTATTTATGTTTGTGGAGACATGTCTAATTTTTTCTTTTTAATTGTGTAGAATGAAGTTGATGTTATGGAGTGGAGACTAAAGAAACTTAATTGAAAGAAAGAAGCTTTCAATTAAACATGTTATTTATGGATAATTTGTGATTTGCTTCAATTTTCATGAGTTTTCTAGATTGGTGTTGAACAATTTGTATATTTAATTTGTGATTTGCTTGAATTTTCTAGAATGGTGTTTTATATATGGATAATTTATATTGAGAGATTGATATTTGACTTTAATTTTGATAAGAACTTGTAATTGTAAATTTTTTACGACAAAACCCGTGGGTACCCATGAACCCGCGGATACCCAACGGGTTGGGTTGGGTTTGAGTTTTTCAAACCCGGTGCGTTTTACCCCGGGTTTTTTTCAAAGATAAACCCATGGGTTTGGGTTTGGGTTTGGCAAAACCCGACCCAACCCGACCCATTGCCATCCCTATTTGGGACCATATCCCCCGGTGAAATCGTGCCTTTGGATAGCGAGTTTAGACAGCCAGTTTTCAAGGGAAACGCCATCTGTCCAGGCGATTCTATCCACAAGAAAATTGGTGGCCGGTGAACGCCGAAGTACGCCACAGAACTATAAAGTCCACTCCTTTAAACCTCTTAAAACCCTCTGCCGGTCTGCCCTTTCTCACCGTTCCTATAGCGGGCGGCGAGAGGAGACTAGAGCCATCCACCTTCCAAAAAGGTTGCTACTTTGCCCACGAAGGTGTAGTACGACCAAATTGCTCGCACCATCCAATATGGCTTGCAGGGTTGCCGCTCCAGATTCTGTCTTCCTCTTTGTGGTATTGCCCCCTTCATCTCGCATTTCTTCCTCTTCCAGCAAATTGTGGTGGTTGCCTTCATTTCCGAGGTTGAATTTTGGTTTTGATCTTCTGGGTTTGTCAGGGAGCCAATCAGAGACCAATCAAGACCCAAAAATTTGCAGCTCAATGCTCCACAGGTTTGTTACGCTGTCTCTTCCTTATTTGCCTTACAATTGTTTCTTCAATCAGCTGGACTTGCATTCAGTTAATTGGTGTTGAAGTTTCGTTCTTTTGGCTGAATGCTGTTATGGGCTTTTCATCTATTTCAAATGGGATAGCTTATATGGGCAGCTGGAGCCGGATTTGCAACTGCAAATCAGTATTTTGGTTGAATGCTTGCTTATTCTATCTTAGTCTGAGTTTGACTGAATCAATCTTGTGAAAATGGAGAATCTATGACAATGTGGTATCTATGGACTGTTAAATTTTCCAATTGTAGTAAATAGTTGCAGTAGGACGTATCATCACAACTATTAACTAATGGACCCTTCACCCTTGTTTTTCCTTGCATTTCTTTAAGTTTTGGTGGTGACTGCCTAAAATGCTCTTCACAATCATTTCATGTCATGTGTTACTCCTCAATTATGTAACCAGCTTTCATTGCTTGGAACAGTTGAAGCTATTCAGAACATATATCTCTGCTTTATTGGCACTGAAAGGAATCACATTCGTGTTGGTAGTATAACTAGCTTATAGTAACTCAATTTTGATAGACAGGCTTCAATGGCTGTGCATGGGACCCTCTAATCCGCCAGGGAGCAAAACAAAATAGGCTTCTAGTTCACTCGAGAAGGTCTAGAACTGTACAAGCTGTGGCTTTTCCTGTTGTATCATCGTCAGCTGATGGTGCGGAGTACAGGAAACAGTTGGCCGAAAGCTATGGCTTCAGGCAAATCGGAGAAGACCTTCCAGACGATGTTACACTAAAGCAGATCATCGATACACTACCAAAAGAGGTAAGGTTTATGTTAATTGTAAGGCACATTATATATTGTTTCCCACCGAGTCTGGCCCTTCAACCTGGGATGAAGTACTTGATATGAGTTTCATTGCATATTGGCATGCTCATATCCATGGACTGTTTTCTTATTATTCTTTGCCTTCATTTGTACCAAGGTGTTTGAGATTGATGATGCTAAAGCATGGAAATCAGTTTTAACATCAGCAGCTTCATATGCTTTGGGGCTCTTAATGATTTCAAAGGCTCCTTGGTTCCTACTTCCCTTCGCTTGGGCATGGACCGGGACTGCAGTAACTGGGGTTAGTTTGCTCTTTTCCGTCCTTCCTCTGATTTATAAATCCATGAACTCACTTTCTTTGTATTTCTTAAGTTCTTTGTCATAGGTCATGATTGTGCTCACAAGTCATTTTCAAAGAACAAATTAGTGGAAGATATTGTAGGAACTCTAGCCTTTCTACCATTGATATATCCTTATGAACCATGGAGATTCAAGCATGAAAGGCATCATGCAAAGACAAACATGTAAGCTCAATCCGTATCTTCTACATCAGCTCTTGGTTACAGTGCTCCACTGATTTTGAACTTGAAATCATTCCTTTGTTGTTTTCATATCTTCAGGTTAGTTGAAGATACAGCTTGGCAGCCTGTTGACAAAAAAGAGTTCGATTCATCCCCTTTCCTTCGGAAGGCGATCGTATATGGATACGGTCCGTTCAGGCCTTGGCTGTCTATAGCTCATTGGTAATGCTCCTCTATAACGATATCGAGTAGCTGTCCCCTCTCGCTCACATTGCATGTATGATACTATACCAAGCAAATAACTCAAACCATCTCAATCGGCAGGTGGCGCTGCCATTTCTCTCTGAAGAAATTCAGACCGAACGAAGTGCAAAGGGTGAAGATAAGTTTAGCATGTGTGTTTGCATTCATGGGGATTGGTTGGCCCTTGATTATCTACAAAGCTGGGGTTGTGGGATGGATTAAGTACTGGCTAATGCCATGGTTGGGGTATCACTTCTGGGTAATGCCATTGACACCACCACTCGAATGGACTATTGTTTGTTGGTTTGCGCCTATGTTCTGATAATCTATTTGATTCTCCATATGTTTGCAGATGAGCACTTTCACAATGGTGCATCACACTGCCCCCCACATTCCCTTCAAAACTTCAGAAGAGTGGAATGCAGCAAAGGCTCAGCTTAATGGAACCGTTCATTGCGATTACCCTCACTGGTGAAGTACCTCTCCCTTCCCCTTGTCTGGCTTCCATCGGCGAGTTCTTACACTCATGCTTATCTGAGCAACCTTGTAATGCTGCAGGATTGAGATCCTCTGCCATAACATCAACGTCCACATCCCTCATCACATTTCGTCACGAATTCCAAGCTATAATCTCCCTGCAGCTCATCGATCCATCCAACAAAACTGGGGCAAGGTAACCCTTTTTCTTTCTAAGCAAATATCACTTACTATGTATCGGAAGACAACCTTTTGACCCTCTTCCCTCTCTTATTTCTTGTTTCACAGTACTTGAACGAAGCTACATGGAACTGGCGGCTGATGAGGACCATAATGACGGTGTGCCATGTCTACGACAAGGAGCAAAACTACGTCGCCTTCGACCAGCTCGCCCCTGAAGACTCTCAGCCGGTAGCATTCCTCAAAAGAGTGATGCCTGATTATGCTTGATTTGCTTAGTTTTCTTTCCCCTCTATTATAAAGCCATTCTTCTTGTCCTAGATCTCATGTTAAGGTAAAGGATGCTACATCCCAATTCTTTGAATGCTAGAAAAAGGCAGCTCCCACCAGGATATTACCTGTAAACACATGATTCTGATACATTTGGAGCATTATCCAGTTTGATACAGGACTAGACAGTTGGACCGATCAAACCATATATTACTGACCAAATCGGTATACGATACTATCAGCATACTGTCACTGCGGTTGATAAATGATGACCAAAGGACAACATAAGCATCATAGATTAATGTTTTGTTCAGCAGTATACTGAAAATGATTTATCGGTTAGTATCAAAAGCGTTATTAATTTTGACTCATACAAGTTCTTGATCTCACAAATGTCTCCGGCCGGTGCAACTAGTACTTGCAAAACAAAATCAATGCGAAATGTCTTCTCTCGTTCCCAGGTTCAAGCATTCTACCGCGAGTCTACTACACCAACGGCGGCTCAAGCAAGTGGATCATCTCATGGGTAGCAGTCGCAGGGTGGCCTATGCTTACTTCCAGGCTTCAACCTCTTCCCTCTTGGCTTCATCAGTCTTCTCCACATTGTGTGGTTAATTTATAGTCGACAGCAAGCTGAACGCCTCCATGATCAACTCCATCGTCCTGAACTCCTGATCGCTGCAGCCAATCCATGGCGAGCATTGCCTTGACTCGTACTCCGACAGGTAGTCAATGTGTGTATTGCATTCCCAGGTATCGTAGAAGGCACCATATGTGGGGAGTTCTACGATACCCAGGGTGAAATTCGGGGTACCGCATACCAGGAGTAAAAAAACGCTATCCAGAACTTGAATTGATTGATCTTCCGGACATGATACTATACTCTAACCCTTAAAGATTAAAATCTAGGTCTTAATTCTCTAAATCTTATACCCCAAGATCAATTTAGTTAGAAACAATAATCGACGGTTATGATTCGTCCAAATTAGGACCTAGGGTTCACTCGTTAATGGTTAGGGTATAGTATCATGCCCAAAAATCTTGCTAATTCGAGGTCTAGATAGCGTTTTCGTACTTGAGGTGAATACACAGGCATGGGAGAATGTAAGCCACAAGCAGTACATCATGGGGTTCATCTTTGAGGTGAATACATTCTGGTTACTAATCTTTTGGTGGGACTGCTGTGATGTTCTTGTTGAACACCGTGCTGGCTGGGTGATGGGGGTGATCAATGCAATTGGGTGAATCTCACAGCGTTGCCGCGGTGATCCTGCGGCATGGACCGATGATCTGTAGCCTCCAGAATCAAAAGAAAATGACATTTCGAAAAAATCGCACGAAATCTGTGATGGTATTTCATTGGAATCTGTCAAAAATTGACTCGGAATAAATCCGTCCAAATCGGTGCTTAATGTACTAAATCACAGTTGAATAATAGCCTCAGGCCGAATCTGTGATCTGTAGCCTTCAATATCCAAAGAAAATCGGGTTTCGTCGCCCAAAAAATTACGAAAAATGCCACCAGAAAATAAATCGGCCCAAATTAGTGCTTAATGGACTTATCTTCCGTGGAGAATAGGATCAATAGACTTCATTATTGATGGAGAATAACCTCGCCCTGATTTCGTGATCTGGAGCCTCCGGAATCGAAAGAAAATGGCATTTCGGAAAAATGCTCGAAATCTGTGATGGTACCCTTTTGGAATCTGCCAAAAATTGACCCGGAATAAATCCGCCCAAATCGGTGCGTAATGGACTTAATCATCGTTGAAGAATAGCCTCAAGGCAAATTCGTGATATGTAGCCTTCAAAATACAAAGAAAATGGCCTTTCATTGCCCAAAAAGTTACGAAAATCCCATTCGAAAATAAATTGGCCCAAATTGGTGCTTAATGGACTTATAATCTGTGGATAATAAGATCAATAGACTTCATTATCAGTGGAGAATAGACTCTGCCTGATTCCGTGATCTGTAGCCTCCAAAATCGAAAGAAAATGACATTTCGGAAAAATTGCCCGAAATTGTGATGGTACCCTTTGAAATCTGCCAAAAATTGACCCAGAATAAATCAGCCAAAATCGGTGCTTAATGGACTTAATAATCGTAGAAGAATAGCCTCAGGCCGAATCCGTGATCTATAGCCTTCAAAATCAAAAGAAAATGGCATATCATCGTCCAAAAAATTACAAAAATGCCATCCGAAAAATAGATTGGCCTAAATCGGTGCTCAATGGACTTATCATTCCTAGAGAATAGGATGAATAGACTTCATTATCGGTGGAGAATAGCCTCGGCCTGATTCCGTGATCTGTAGCCTCCAGAATCGAAAGAAAATGACATTTCGGAAAAATAACCCGAAATCTGTGATGGACCCCTTTGGAATCTGCCAAAAATTGAACAGGAATAAATCCACCCAAAACGGTGCTTAATGGACTCAATCATCGTTGACGTATAGCCTCGGGGCAAATCCATGATCGGTAGCCTTCAATATCCAAAGAAAATGACTCTTCGTCGCCCAAAAAATAACGAAAATTCCATCCGAAAATAAATTGGCACAAATCGGTGCTTAATGGACTTATCATCCATGGAGAATAGGATCAATAGACTTCATTATCGTTGAAGAATAGCTTCGGTCTGATTCCATGATATGTAGCCTCCATAATCGAAAGAAAATGGCATTTCGGAAAAATCGCCCGAAATCTGTGATGGTACACCTTTGGAATCTGCCAAAAATTTACCCGAAATAAATCCGCCCAAATCGGTGCTTAATGTACTCAAGCATAGTTGAAGAATAGCCTCAGGCCGAATCTGTGAGCTGTAGCCTTCAATATCCAAAGAAAATCGGTTTTCGTCGCCCAAAAAATTACGAAAATGCCATCAAAAAATAAATCGGCCCAAATCAGTGCTAAATGGACTTATCTTCAGTGGAGAATAGGATCAATAGACTTCATTATCGATGGAGAATAACCTCGTCCTAATTTCGTGATCTGGAGCCTCCGGAATCGAAAGAAAATGACATTTCGGAAAAATGCTCGAAATCTGTGATGGTACCCCTTTGGAATTTGCCAAAAATTGACCCAGAATAAATCCTCCCAAATTGGTGCTTTATGGGTTCAATCATCGTTGAAGAATAGCCTCAGGCCGAATCCGTGATCTGTAGCCTTCAATATCCAAAGAAAATGGCCTTTCGTCGCCCAAAAAATTAAGAAATGTTTTCCGGAAATAAATTGGCCCAAATTGGTGCTTAATGGACTTATCATCCGTGGAGAATAGGATCAGTAGACTTCATTATCGGTGGAGAATAGCCTCGGCCTAATTCCATGATCTGTAGCCTCCAGAATCGAAAGAAAATGACATTTCGAAAAAATGCCCGAAATTTGTGATGGTACCCTTTTGGAATCTGCCAAAAATTGACCCGGAATAAATCCACCCAAATCGGTGCTTCATGGTTGAAGAATAGCCACAGGCCACATCCGTAATCTGCAACATCCAATAACCAAAGAAAATGGCATTTCGTCGCCCAAAAAATCACGAAAATGCCATCCGAAAATAAAATAGCCCAAATAGGTGCTTAATGGACTTATCATCCGTGGAGAATAGGATCAATAGACTTCATTATCGGTGGAGAATAGCCTCGGTCTGATTTCGTGATCTATAGCCTCAAGAATCGAAAGAAAATGACATTTAGAAAAAATCGCCCGATATCTATGATGGTACCCCTATGGAATCTGCCAAAAATTGACCTAGAACAAATCCTACCAAATCGGTGCTTAATGGACTAAATCATCGTTGATGAATAGTCTCAGGCCGAATCCGTGATCTGTAGTCTTCAATAACCAAATAAAATGGCCTTTCGTCGACCAAAAAATTACGAAAATGCCATTCGAAAATAAATAGGCTCAAATCGGTGCTTAATGGACTTATCATCCGTGGAGAATAGGATCAATAGACTTCATTATCAGTGGAGAATAGCCTCGGCCTGATTTCGTGATCTGTAGCCTCCAGAATCGAAAGAAAATGGCATTTCGGAAAAATGGTCTAAAATATGTGATGGAACCCCTATGGAATCTGCCAAAAATTGACCTGGAAAAAATCCTACCAAATCGGTGCTTAATGGAATCAATCATCGTTGATGAATAGCCTCAGGCCGAATTCGTGATCTGTAGCATTCAATATCCAAAGAAAATGGCCTTTCGTCGCCCAAAAAATTACGAAATGCAATCCGAAAATATATTGGCCCAAATCGGTGCTTAATGGACTTATCATCCGTGGAGAATAGGATCAATAGACTTCATTATCGATGGAGAATAGCCTCGGCCTGATTTCGTGATCTGTAGCCTCCAGAATCGAAAGAAAATGACATTCAAAAAAATAAGGAGAAATCTGTGATTGTACGCCTTTGGAATATGCCAAAAATTGACCCGGAATAAATCCGCCCAAATCGGTGCTTAATGGACTCAATCATCGCTGAAGAATAGCCACAGGCCACATCCGTGATCTGTAGCCTCCAATATCCAAAGAAAATGGCCTTTCGCCGCCCAAAAAATCACGAAAATGCCATCCGAAAATAAATTGGCCCTAATCTGTGCTTAATAGACTTATCTTTCGTGGCGAATAGGATCAATAGGCTTCATTATCGGTGAAGAATAGCCTCGGCATAATTCCGTGATCTGTAGCCTCCAGAAACGAAAGAAAATGAGATTTCGAAAAAATCGCCCGATATCTGTGATGGTACCCGTTTGGAAACAATAAAAAATTGATCCGGAATAAATCCTACCAAATCGGTGCTTAATGGACTCAATCATCGTTGATGAATAGTCTCAGGCCGAATCCGTGATCTGTAACCTTAAATATCCAAAGAAAATGGCCTTTCGTCGCCCAAAAAATTACGAAAATGCCATCCGAAAATAAATTGGCCTAAATCGGTGCTTAATGGACTTATCATTCGTGGAGAATAGGATCAATAAACTTCAATATCGGTGGAGAATAGCCTCGGCTTGATTCCGTGATCTGTAGCCTCCAGAATCGAAAGAAAATGACATTTCAGAAAAATCGCCGGAAATCTATGATGGTACCCCTTTGGAAATTGCCAAAAATTGACCCGGAATAAATCTGCCCAAATCGGTGCTTAATGGACTCAATCATCATTGAAGAATAGCCTCAGGTTAAATCCGTGATCTGTAGCCTTCAACATTGAAAGAAAATGGCCTTTCGTCGCCCAAAAAATCATGAAAATGCCATCCAAAAATAAATTGTCCCAAATCGGTGCTTAATGAACTTATCTTCCGTGGAGAATAGGATCAATAGGCTTCATTATCGGTGGAGAATAGCCTCGACCTGATTCCATGATCTGTAGCCTCCAGAAACGAAAGAAAATGACATTTCGAAAAAATCGCCCGATATCTGTGATGGTACCCCTTTGGAAACAGTCAAAAATTGACCCGGAATGAATCCTACCAAATCGGTGCTTAATGGACTCAATCATCGTTGGTGAATAGTCTCAGGCCGAATCCGTGATCTGTAACCTTAAATATCAAAAGAAAATGGCCTTTCGTCGCCCAAAAAATTATGAAAATGCCATCCGAAAATAAATTGCCCTAAATCGGAGCTTAATGGACTTATCATTCGTGGAGAATAGGATCAATAAACTTCAATATCGGTGGAGAATAGCCTCGGCTTGATTCCGTGATCTGTACCCTCCAGAATCGAAAGAAAATGACATTTCAGAAAAATTGCCCGAAATCTATGATGTTACCCCTTTGGAAATTGCCAAAAATTGACCCGGAATAAATCTGCCCAAATCGGTGCTTAATGGACTCAATCATCATTGAAGAATAGCCTCAGGTTGAATCCGTGATCTGTAGCCTTCAACATCCAAAGAAAATGGCCTTTCATCGCCCAAAAAATCACGAAAATGCCATCCAAAAATAAATTGTCCCAAATCGGTGCTTAATAGACTTATCTTCTGTGGAGAATAGGATGAATAGACTTCATTATCAGTGGAAAATAGCCTCGGCCTGATTCCGTGATCCGTAGCCTCTAGAATCGAAAGAAAATGGCATTTCGGAAAAATCGTGTGAAATCTATAATGGTACCCCTTTGGAATCTGCCAAAAACTGACCCAGAATAAATCCGCCCAAATTGGTGCTTA